GGAGGGGGCGGGGGTGGGGGGGGTGCGGCGTAAAATATGTGTCAACTTTTGCTGCCTAGAAATAGTGCATGAGTTATAAAGCAATAATTGAGTGCGTTGTGAAATCTAATTAGCTTGCACTAGAGTTTAACCTGGGTGAGTAATAAACCTGATATTAACTCTGGAGGCTAAATTTTTTTTTTTTTTTTTTGAGGGGGGAAAAAAAAAATCTGCTCGCTAATTTGTGCAATACGTTATCTCAGATCGCTAACTTTAAAGCTATATCGGCAACCCAACGTGCTGGAGCCCTGGAAGTTTTGGGATTAAGTTTAAAAATACATGTATTTCTTCTGTAACTCATTTGAAAGCTTGGGAAAGTGGCCACGCGATAAACATATGAATGGAAGCAGGACCTGTAAAATAATTACTCATCGGAGTTTTTTAAAGCCTGATATCAGGAAACAGGAAAAAAATGTAGTTTATGTGGGAAAAGAAGGGCTCACAATCCATTCCTTGTTGTGTTAAAGGGGGTCTGGGGAACGAAGTCATTTTCTGGACTTTGTCCAGGTTCTGGGTCGTGACCTAAACTTCCTTTTATATATTATTGCTTTACACATAAAAAACTTCTCGTCCCCCCGTCCCCCCCTCAAATTACTGGTGCTAAAGCCCGAAGGTGATCAATGAGCAGGGCGCATCTAGCCACAGGGAGACAGGGATCCCGCGTGGGAAGGGGTGTACGTGGGTGTGCTTATGTTATTTTTCTATCGTTTTCTAGGATGCATTTTCCTCTCCCTCGCTCAAACGCTCAGCGAGGATCCCACACACGCTCACATCCCTCCCCAGCCCCTGGCCAGCTCACACCCACACCGAGGAGTTTATTTCCAATCCTGCCTTTTCTCCCAAATCACTTTTTTTTTTCTTGGTGGTGTTTTTTTTTTTTTTTTTTTTTAGCCTTCTGAGAAAACAATCGTCCGATCCTGTCGTAACTGTTTAATTTATTACTATTTTCAAAATGTGAGGCCTGGCGTGTAAATTGCCTCCCAACTAGATAAACGTTTCTTGTTATCTGATTCTGGGGAAGATAGCAGCATGCAAAAAAATAAAAAAATAAAAATAGGGTGATGCATGCAGCTTCTGCAGCACCCCAATAACACTCCCTGATGTAAAGCAGACGCACGTAGATGCATATAATGTTTGCTGCAGCCTCTTTTAAGAGAGAAAAAAAAAATCTGGGTTCTAATGACTCGCAGAATATGCATGTGTTAGCCCTGTGCCTAGGAAAGCCACAGGGAGGTCAGGTCACAACCTGTGCTCTTTCAGCACAGACGTCTCTGATTTAAAGGGAACTTATTGTATTTTAGCGTATCAGGGGGGGTGGAAAAAAAAAAAGGAAAAAAAAATGTCCAGACCCTATCAGGGAGTTTTCTTCTTGTAAGGGCCTTTAGGTTTAAAAAGAAGAAGAAGAGGGAAAAAAAAGAGGGGGGAGTGGAGGGGGGGAAGAAAGAAAGAGAAAAGAAAAGAGGGGGGAAAAGAAACAGCTCAAATGAACAGAGAGATCACAGTTTGCATGGCTGCCTCTGAATAGGCTAAACTGACAAGATCAGTTTTAAAGGGCCACTTAAATCAGTTTCAAAGACTGAAGAAAAACGCGTTGTCTTCTTTGGGGGAGAATCTGTTGCTGGATCCGGGGCGCCATTATCTTTGGCTGGGCCAGTTTTTTATTATTATTACGATTTCTATCACTATTCTTAGTGTTCCTTCTCATCACATGGTTAGGTTCTCCCCAGTTATTTTCCAAGGGCGGGGGGGAGAAATAGCGGCTCACTTTCCCCCATTTCCATTCAAGCCTTCCCCGCCCCCCCAGCCTTTCCCCCTAAAAATATCGATATACGAAATTCCGCCTGGCCAGCACCTCCTTGTCACCCCCTCCTGTCTGTCGTGCCATTAGAAATCTGGAATCTTTGGGATTCTCTATCCTAAAGGCGAGCCTTCAGAAGAGCGAGAAATACAAACACACACAGAGAGAAAGAGAGATTGTCCCTTTTGGTAAAACCGACTTAAACTCTGGGGGGTGAGGTGATGGCGCACGATCTACGCTTAACTCCAGCAATAAACCAGATCAAATTAAAAATTAAAAAAAAAAAAAAGCAAAACAACAGAAAACCAAAACTTTTTAATCTGATGATTGTTTTCTTTTTTTCTTTTCTTTCTTTTTCTTTTTTTTTTTTTTAATACACTTTCTTCTAGATGCCTGTGGTCTCTCTGATGTAGCCCATGTTGAAAGTTTACAGGAGAAGTCACAGTGTGCTTTGGAAGAGTATGTTAGGAGCCAGTATCCCAACCAGCCAACACGATTCGGGAAGCTATTACTACGTCTCCCCTCCCTTCGCACTGTCTCCTCTTCTGTCATAGAGCAATTGTTTTTCGTCCGTTTGGTAGGTAAAACCCCCATAGAAACCCTAATCAGGGATATGTTACTGTCTGGCAGCAGTTTTAACTGGCCTTATATGTCCATTCAATAAAATATTCGAGAGAGAGAGAGAAAAAAAATTTTAAAAAATTAAAAATTGAGAAGGGAGATGAAAGAGAGTGAAAGGAAAGCAAATGACATTTGGGTTCTGGTTGTTTCTTAAATTTCCTTCTGCTAAGAAAGGATGTAGAGGATGTTACAAGCTTGCTAAGAGAAGACAGGAAAAAAAAATGGACTGTGAATTAAAAAAAAGAGACTGTCAAATGAACTTTTACAGAATGCATTAAAAACTCCCGTGTCGTTCAGAAAAAAAAAAAACTTGCTACTTATCATTTTTTGTAAAAAATAAAAAAGAGAGAAAGAAAAAAGAAAGAAAGAAAAAAGAGAAGGAAGAAGAAAAGAAATTATGGTGGGCTTTTTCTTTTTTTCTTTTTTCTTCTTTTTTTTTCTTTTTATGGGGTAAACTTTTTAAAAAATCTCGCTTAAAGTGCATTTAAAGGAAAATTTGGAGAAAATTAGCAGAACGGAAGAAAGTAAGTCTTTTTTTCCAAATTATTAATTGTCCTATGTGTCTATGTACCTATAGCTGTTCTTTTTTGTATTTTTCTGGTTTCAAACCAGTTTATTCTGTGGTTCTATAATAATTTTTGATATAACCTTGGCTTCTTTAAAAAAAAAAAAAAAAAACTGTGTATCCTTAAAATATATGTTCTGAAAGAATTAAAACTGAGTCCACGAAAAGTATCATAGGAAGAAAGGAAAAGAGAGAGAGAGAAAAAAAAACAAGCCCTCAACAACACAATGATGGAAGCGCACTTAAGGTGGTGACCCAAAATCTAGCTTGAAGCTGAGAGCTATAATTATATAGACCCGACTGAACCACATGTGTCATATAACTACCCCCAAATCTAGGTTTTTTGATATTTCGGACAGAAAATGAACTGTGGGGATTTATTATAGGTAGAAGGAATTTGTGTCCAAGACACACTACGGTTTTGATTTAAAAAAAACAAACAAGCAAAGTGAACTTTTGTAATTTGAATTGGGTTCCACATAGTTCATCATGAATTGTTATTAAACTCCTCTATCTGTTTGTATATTTGCAAGCCCTTTGTATTATAATAATTGTTGATATTTTCCCTTTTTAAAAAATACCATTGAAATCAGCATGACAAAATAACACTGTTGGCACTTATAGATAACGTGATTGATTCAGTATCTTAGAGTTTACAGTTTTGTGTTTAAAAAAACTGAAGGTTTTTTTTTTTAAGTGCAACATTTCTGTATACTGTAAAAGTTATAATAACTGAACTGTTTGGTCGAGTCTTTGTGTGTTATATTCCAAGGAAAATTGAAAGTATTCAGAAATTAAAATATTATTTGATATCTGAAACTTGTTTGGCTGTCATAAATGTCTTTCAGAAACCACATTACTTCTCTATAGTTTGCAGTCATTTAAGTCCGTAGGCGATTGATTTGTTTACTTGTCACAGTAAGTTTGTAGCAGATGTATTGTAGTGTATTTACCTGTTTAATTCCGGGATGGGGGTGGAGGACTTAAGTTCGTGGTTTATCTCTAGTTTTAGGAAGTACTATGCTGAAATGGTAAACCATCAACCCCTATTCATCTAATCCTCCTGTTAATTAAAAATGGATTTTCTGGGGAAAAAAAAAAAAGAAAAAAAAAAAGGCCCTTATTTTTGTCACACTTAAGTGCCTGCGTAGGAAAGGTATTGTTGTGAAAAAGTATTAGAAATCTGGAGATCAGTATCTATTTTATGATCAGAATGGGGCGAAAAATCTTTTGTAAATGTCTGACATACGCGCACAAGATCATTCAAGCAAGGTAATAGCAGTATTGTAAATATAGGTCAGTTGTTTGCAATGAGTTTTCTTTAAGTATGTGTGATTTTTTATAATACTCCGTAGTTGCCATCTATCGTTGTCACTGAGAGGTCTTCAAATGGAGTGGCTTTAGCTTCTAGCACTGAGGAGTGGGTTTTTAATGTATATATACTCTCAAGTGGATTTTTTTTACCTTAGACTGTGAAAGCATGACCACAGGTCATCTCTATATTTTACATATGGGACATGTGTCTGTATGTATACTCGCATCCATACATGCCCAGGCGTACGTGCATCACTCCTGGGCAGCGACGGGGCCCTCTCCTGCGGCCCCTGCCCGGGCACAGCCCCCACCGGCGCGGGGGGCACCGGCCGTGGGCCAGAGGCGTAGGAGCGGACACAGCCTTGGTGAACTTAGTGCCCTCCCCAGCAGGCAAAAAAACCCCCAAAATCTGAAGGCAGGCAAGATGATGTGGTTTAGC